GGCTTTATGGGCAAGGTAAAACACTTTTAAGCTTAAAGTAAGAATCCTAAACTTTTCTTTTCAATATATCTAAAAGTCTTTAATACAGGCATAAAGAATTTGACAAAAAAAAAAAAAAAAACAGTTCACATTTATCTTGGTAACTCAATTAACAATGAAATTATGACCAAAGTTTGTCAGTTTTCCACCTCGTGTGCTATAGGATGAGAAACCAATTTCAACAGTGTATAACTGAAGATGCAAGCTTGAGGTTTAAGCTTTAAATCCTCAAACTAAAAACAGTGAAATAAATAAGAATTCATTTATTGGAACTTATGGAAAAAAAATCTTCTGGACAGTTGGAATGGTCCTCTTGTATTTCTTCTAATGGTGACTTGCAATCTGAATTTGGTCATAAGCCTCTGATATAGGTAATATTCTTTGAACACACCTTGAAAGTGGTATTATCTCAAAGTCCATCTAAAGACTAATGTTGACGCCACTTGTGCAATATCATCCTACAAAGGCTATCAAAAATAATTGTTTCTGACTTTGGTTGGAACTGAAATTTTGATTACAACACTGGATAGTGATGTAATATCAATGACTTGATCGATGTTGGAGTAATAGTATACTGCAACCAGTTGACCTTTTATGATTGTAACTGAAGGTCATTTGAAGTGGTTCTTCTTCATAACAAATAGTTTGAATATATAGATTCACTGAGTGCTTTTCCTTATTTCCTTTAGAGGTGGAGATGAAGTTCCATTAAAAGTTATATCAATGAAATGTCTATTCCCTTCATCAGTTTTAACTTTGTGGTCTTCAGAAAATATTACCAGCCACAAATGTAACTGAAATAAATGATCATTAAAAGGAAAACATGAGTCCTTTTAAAAAATTTATTTTTTTATGAACAAACTTGGGTGTGAAATTCAAAGAACTAAGAACATATCCAGTTTGTATATTTAATTTTCTATTTTTATAATATGAATTCTGTTTAAGAAAACGCAAAAAAACAACAGCTGAAGCAAAAATGATTTGGACATGAAAATTTGGATAAAATACAATAAATAATGAAAAAATTTTAACTATGTAATATTCATTAATGAAACCAGTCTGATTTAAACTGGGCTGCTGGTGATGTTCATTCATTCAGTCAGCAATACAAATTTTGATGCATTGTACCCAACAGGTTTGCCTAAAATAAACATGTTATACCCTCTTTTTGATTTGTGTGTGTGTGTCAAGTTATATAGTAACAGATATAAAAACAGGAATTATTAAAGATGAGACATTGTGCTACAGGCAGGTGTAATTTGTTGAATTACTCTGGTATTTCATGCACTAGAGTTTTCAATATAAAATCTTTTGTGAGCGACTTCAGACTTTATGGTTAGTCCATCAAAATGAGCATTTTTTTAATCTTATGATGGGACTATTTTGATATGTTTAGGGAAATACAACTCGGTGCAACAAGTTTGAAAAATACAACTATGAAATTGTCAATTGTGAGAAGGTGCCAAATATCATTGAAATTGTAAGATAATTTTAAAAGACATGGAATAAAAACTAATCATCACACTTGAGAAAAACTTGTATTTTTAGAAAGGGAAAAGAATAAATTTTTACATAGTAATTTTATGAAAATAGCCTCAAAATTAAAAGCAGATATCAGTCCTGAAATGACGTCTTGGTTTCAGTCACTTTCCCACCACCATAACATAGCTTCTCTGTGCCTTTTCTATAAAGTATGAAATGTGGGACAGAGGTAGTAAGACAAAATCTGTCCCATAATAATTGCTACATTTTGTGTATGAAATGTGTATTCAAATGTAACAACTATTATTGCGACAGATAGTTATGTTTGATAATCTTAGAAAAAAAACTGCCCCCACCAAAAAATAAAAAATGATCAATCCTAAAACACTTTTAACTGGATCCTTCAGCACTGACAATTTTGGAAGTTTCTTGGAATTGTCTAAATGAACATTATCTTTTTATCAATGCACTATGAAGTGGAATCCTTCTCATTCTAATTTCCTTAGATTTTGGCCTTCTCCAAATAGAATCTATTTCTAAATTTTCCCAGTTTTGAGATAACTCAAATTGCATTCCTTTTTACGAGTGGAGATCATAACTGTGAATAACATTTGCCTGATAGCATTAAATCTTTGCATCATTGAATAGTCATCTTTGCCCCACCAAACAACAGAATATTAAAGATTATATCTGAATTGTTTTTTCCTTTTCTTTTTTTTTTTTTTTTATTATTATTATTTAAATTGTGTATCAGCTATGGGTTAAATAGCAGGATAAACTGGGTCTTATGGTCTTGGTTGGCAATCAGTCAACTGCAGAAAGTAACTATTGCAGGAATTATTCTGACAAGTCAATCAGGAATTGAAAAAGGCAGGATCGCAAAATGTGTATCCTACATGGTACCTAAGGAAAGAATCAGTTTAAAATTACAGCTGTTGATTTGATAGTTTATTTATATACAATACTGTGTATTTAGGTATCAAATACTTTTGAAGGCAAATATTAAAAACGATACATTGTGTGTTAAGTTTCATGATTCTCTCTCTCAAATTACAAATAATGCTTCTCGAACAAGTAGGAAATTCTATGAGAAACTGTCCAAAGTTCATTTTGGAAAAAAGTACAATAAATATGGTCCAAGCATTTCATTTAATTTATCAGGGTAGGTAAAGGTAACAGGAGTTTCATAGAACGTGTGTTTGTTTATATATTTTTGTATTGTGTGTATATAAACTCAACACTTGAAGTTTTGTTCACCACTGTTGTGGCCAGGTATTGAACTCTCATCTCTTTGGCTGAAGTCACTGGATTACTTTAACCAACACTTATCTACTGGACCATGTGTACTTGAAGACAACAGTCTAAACAATGTAAATAGTTACAATATGTTGTCTTGGAAATATAGTGTTATTTTGCTGTTCTTTTATTTATTATTTTTTTAAAGATTTATCTATTGTTATTAGGAAAAGTTATTAATTAATGCTCATAATATACACAGTGAACACAATAAAAAAAACTGAAAATAAATCTTACGCATTGATACATATCATTTACTAGCAGTAGAGCCTGGCGTTGCCCGGGGATATAACAGTAAGAGATAGATCAAGTATCCACCATCATAAAGACTGAAAAATAAAATTGACAAAGATCAATATTTAAGGTTGACGGACACGCACGTCTTAATTAGTTTTTTTTTAACGAATTGGTCAAACTCAAACAAAAACATTGTTTTCAATCGTTATGATTCTCTACCGATTGAATAGAATTTGATTATAAACAATTGTCTTGTAAATGGAATTTTTAAAGCATTCTGAATGTAAAAATAAAGAAAAAAGTGTGCAAGACAATAAGAAACACTAAATGCCAAAAAAAAAGTGAAGTTTTGTTGAAATCAGTTGAAAAATGTAGGTAGCCTTTCTGTAATCTTTTAGTTTTACAATTTATGATTTTTACTTATTGACTACAGTAATAAAAATTGCATATTTTGCTTGTCATGATTCATAATTAGAATTCTGATTTGAATATATTTTCCACTCGTTGTTTCTAATACAAAAAATATTAACTTTATTTGGGTTTATTAATTATGATCTAACAAATCTTATTCATTTAGTAGCCTTTCTGTAATAATAATCTTTTACAATTTATGATTTTTACTTATTGAATACAGTAAAAAAATTGGACACCATGTGTATTTAAAGTAGTTTCCCATTCGGTTATTATTTTAGTTAGGACTTGTATATGTTTAGATTTCATTATCTTTCCTAAAGATAAAGAATTTATCCGATGTTTGTATTCGTACAATCAGTAGAGGTCGCTAGATTATTGTTTAAGGTTGACGGACACGCATGTCTTAATTAGTTTTATTTTTTACTTAATTGGTCAAACTCAAACAAAACATTGTTTTCAATCGTTATGAGTCTCCGATTGAATAGAATTTTATTATAAATAATTGTCTAGTAAATGGAATTTTTTTAAAGCATTCTGAATGTTAAAATAAAAAAAAAAGTGTGCAAGAGAATAAGAAACACTACCTGCCAAAAAAAAAAAAAGTTTTGTTTTATCGGCTGAAAAATATAGGAAATCCATCCCATATTTAAAGGAACACACACACACACACACACACACACACACACACACACAAACAACCCGATGTGAGTTGTCCCCCTTTCATTTTCACGATGTCTCTTAATCGTGTTTTCAAATTGATTTTGTGTAAAAACAATTATATTTTTTCCATTTTTGGCGCTGTTAGAACCACCACAAGGTAATTTTATGTAGTCCTGTGAAGTTTTGTTGAAATCGGTTGAAAAATGTAGGAAATCCGATCCAATATATAAACGTCACACACACACACACACACATACAATCTGCGTTTTATAATAAGTAAGATTGATAAAAACAAAACTCCTCACTAACTTACAGAGTAGAATCATCCTTGAATATTGTGGTTATTTCTATAAAAGTGTACAATAAATTATCTATATTCTGTTTAGTCAGCTTGATTAGTTTGCTCCATTTGCATATGATTCACTTTAATATCTATCATAAAATACAATATTAAAGGTTTCAGCCTATAATCCATTAATACACAATGTTCATTTAAATGGGATGATGGACATTAATGGGTTAATACTAATGATTTATCAAGTTTTCATCTTTTTTTTTCTATTTCTTCTTTTCAGAGTATAACTGTACCAAATTTTCGGTATACAGGTGCCCGGATATGTAAATACTTGTCCCAATTAGAAAAAATTGGCGTTGAATTCAGGACTGTTTTGCTCAAAAGGTAAGTTTTATTTATTTATTTTTTTTTTTCTGGGTGAGGAGTTTAACATTATCTACAGTTGGATTATTGTCCTCGTGTCTTTGTTTTTATCACTTTTCAATTGTTGTGTCTTCTTCAGGTGTCTGTCAATCGGGCCATTCCACAAGGAATTTTGAACTAAACCCTTTAATCAATAGATTTTTCTTGTCCTACTTTTCATGCCTAGTGATAAAAATTAAAGGTTTCAGTTCAAAAGGTTTCTTGGATTGACAGACTCTGAAGAAGTCCAGAGAGCAAAATGGCTGAAACATTGTGACCACAGCATAAATGAAAACATTAGTCTGAATGTAAATGAATTCTGATTTATGCGGGTAAGAACCCCCCCCCCCCCCATTTATGAAACCAATTTATCCTTGCAAATATTGTTGGCAAAGATGATGAATGATACTATGATCTATCCAATCTTATATACTTTCTTATGTTGGAAACTGTCTGAAGGAATACGAAGAAAAGAATTAAACTACTATTGAAGATAAAGTGACATAGTATCAGATAATATCATCCAGTTCACCGGTTCACAAATTTTGGGTCATTTATCTTGGGTTGTGACTTTGGTAATAAAGGCATTTTAGTTATAGCTTAAAATGTTCTAGACCCCAACACTTGGTGGAGAAGGAAGAAAAGAAAACCAAAAAAAAAAAAAAAAAACTAGAAAGATGCCTAAGCTTGTAGAAAAGCAAATTTAATTGTCAAAATCTTTGTGCTTTGTAAGAAGAAAAGAATATAGAAAACATAAATATTGTGTGTCTTCAAATCCAAAGGTGATATATATGAGAGAGTCTGACTTCTGATTGTTCTGTTACCATTTATTTGGAGCAGGATTTTAACTGCATACAACATGGAAAATTTTAGCTAGTGCTTGCTGTCCCCACTTCTTCCAGACTTGTGGTTTGCACAGTCAAAAACAAATCCATGCAATGATTTTTGTTTCCAAAAGAAAAACTTATACATTTTCGTCATTAGTTTATTGCTAACTCATTTTTTATTCTTGTTGTAATTTCTAATTGCTACTAAGTCATTAAAGAATATATAGGATATAATACATTAGTGAATTTAGTGTAGAAACTTTTTATTATGGATAGGATAGGTAGGTGTAATTTTTGGACTCTGGGTAATCAAGTGATATTTGTATATAAAGTTTGGAGTAATGGAATTTTAAAAAAAATTAAAAAGAAATGCTTGAGTACTGCTATTTGGGATAAAGGAAGAATTAACTACAAAATAATTTAACATGCAAAGAAGCTAAAGAACTGAACAAGATGTTATTTCTTTTAAGATTTATTACTGGTTTACCATTTTTGATAGCAAAGTGTGAAATTGATATCAAGTCCTTACATGTTTTCACATGTTATTCTTAAACACATTGGGTCCTAAGCCTCATTTCCCTTATTGTCTCAACATTATAGTTTTGGTACAAGCGAGTTTAACATATGAGGCAAGGATATCATAGGTAGTATTTATTACCCATGACCCACCTGAATCCATTTTACAATCCAGATTCCCTCACAACCCACCCATGGGTCACTGGAAAATTGCTAATATACAAATATTACATTGACACTAACTCTCATTTCTATATTCAAAAATATTTAAATTGGAAAAAAAAATGTGGTTCTGGTTAACCATGATCTCAAAGGTAATAAATCATAGCACCCAAATCCCAATAATCCTCCTAAAAAAAGAAATTAGAAAAGCCATTGGAAAGTCATATGGGCCTTGCAGGCATACCACCATTACACACTGGTGGGAGTAAATGTGTTAAATAACTTTTCCTAAGTATTACATTAATTTTGAATTTCTACACTGATCATTTTTAACAATGACAAAAGATCCTATCAGCCAGTTCATGTCTCGCAGAATCCAGTGTTTATTTTAGCATACCCATGCCATCAGACACATTCAAATCTTCTAAGTAATGAAACTTTTCCTATCATGCAACAGATGTACAGTACTTCTCACATGTTGGTCAAACCTGAACAAAACATTATCAAGCAAACAATACAAATGAACTCTTTCAAAAACACTAAACCAAACCATATTCTTAACCTCTTAGAGGAAATCAAACTTTATACCAAAATATAAATATAAAAACTACATAAAATCTTTAAAAAAGGAAAAAAACCTTCAGACTTCATAAAGATTCCTACTAAAAATAAACAATGCAAACTCTAATAACCAACTTGTATGATAAACTGAATACAAAATAACTTTTATCTCTAATAACTGAATAAAAATAAAACTTACATCAACTCTAACCCAAAATTCTCATGATTCAAAACCTTTATCTGTCCTTAAATGACCCTATGTGGGCTGTTAAAATGGTTGAATAACACCATAGAGAATGTCCTTGGGTTACGCTGGACCTGATGTACAGTTTTGTGGTAATAGCACCATCTTCCATAATATAATACGTTGTCACGTGGTGCTATATGAGGAAGATGGCATTGTTTCTTCACCAGCAGTGCACCAAATTGGATTGTGCTACATTCGCAATCTCTTGTTGTGTGCGTTTTTTTTTTTTTTTTTTTTTTTTTTTTTTTATTCCTTATGGCTCCCAAGTATAAGGCAGATTTGTGGGTGCTTATGTAGGTGAATTCCAACCTATGTTGAAAATCAGGTTATGTCACACTGTAGGGAAGGATCTCCATAAGTCAAGGATCCCCTATAGTGGCTGTTAAGATGGTTTAGTGGATGATGGGCTGTTAAGAATAAACAAAACCAAACCCATGCCATTCAAAAGTGACTCTATATTGGAAATTGATATCTTTTTAAGCCCTTACTATTGTTTTCAAATATGTCCCTTTTTTTTTTTTTTTTTTTTTTGTATTTTACATGAGTTGGTCTTTTCACCTTTTATTACAGCAAAATAGTTGCAAGTAATAAAAACCATATAGATATAAATATCTATAGCTTTATTTATTTAGTAATTTGAAGTGTGTGTGTGTTTTTTTTTTTTTTTTTTTTTTTTTGCCACCATTCTTTCTGAAAGGAAAATATTGACCAGTCATAATAGAAAATTTGAAGACCACCTCCATGATATTTTATTACTTTCCTTGAATATAACAAGGAATTGGATAATTCTATGCATTTGGATGGATCCTGTGATGCCTTTTGACAGGCACCAAAAACAAAGAAGAAAAAGCAGTTAATGTATTAGCATAAATCTTTGTATAATGCATATTAACTAAATTTATTTGTTGTTCAGCTTGTGAGACTATTTTTTTTTTAGTTGTGCATAAAGAGTAAAATTGTTTTAACCTTTTAACACTCTGCATTATTAATATTACTTCCCTTTCTCCTGCAATCTTTTTCAAGACATGCTAATTGCAGTATCCTTATTGTTAATTTCACTCAAAGTTGTTTTCTGTTGCCATAGAAGGATATAACAACACAACTATAAAATTAACACTAGGGATTGGTCACCTTCATTGGCAGGATAAGCTTTTTGTACAGCAAATGAAGTCCAAGTGATAAAGGTTAAACTTCACACTGAATTATTTGTTGGTGCAAACCATTTTATTAAGAATATATATTTTTTGTATCTAGGAGAAGATGTTGATTTTATATTTACTTATATTACAAATAAAGATTGTGAGAATTTCAAACTTTCTATGATATTCAAACTGCAAGTGTTGTCTATATATGTAAATTTTATCGTTTTATTTGATAATCTCTTCTGCCTTTGACTTCAGATGTCAAAAAGAACATTCAGAAAAAGAGAAGTTGATATCAGATGAAAAGACCATCCCAAGGCTTTGTGGCTTTTCTTTATTCCTTGCTGAACTTTTTCTTTTGTTAGAGGTAAGGCTATTTTTTATTTACATCTTTCCTCCCCACTTTTAAATCAGAGCTCTATTAATGAGAATTTAGTCTTAGCTTTTGTATATATCGATAACTAATCAATTCAATTTTTGGTGCCTTTCTAAATATTATAAATAAAACTTTCTAAAAGTTAAAACAGGATCTGTACCATAATTTCTTGTGTATAATATGACAGTGTTTCTGAAGCTGAAAACTGAGTGGGGGTGATAAATTACATAATGCAATCACGTAGTACAGCTATCTGTAGGTAATTTGTATTTGAAAATTTGTAAGATATTATCCATTAAAATTTTGATATCATACATATATTTCACTAAAATGTTTCCAAGATATTAAAGGGATAGAAATGAGCTGGATGCTTTGCTTATTGTTTCTTCTGATTTTCTTTTCAAAAACTTATTTTTAAATTTTCATAGAAAGGTACTTTGTTGTAACATTTTAATGCAATCAAAACATTACCAATCTTGTGATGTCCTGGGTAAGACAAGAAACTACATCCACCAGCAAGGCCTCTGATTGGAAGGTTTTGAGGAGTGCAGAATCACCTCTTGATTGTTGGTGTTCCCAGGTCCAACCTGACCTGGGGTAGTAGCACCTGTTAGGGTCCCAATTATGGACAAATAGTTAACTCCCAAACTGGGGTCAAAACACTATGAAAGTATAAAAATAGGTTTTAATCCCAGCAATACATTTTTGTAAAAAAATTATTACCAGCAATACACTTTTGTAAAAAAAAAAAAAAAATTACCAGCAATAAAAAATCTTGTCGGCATTAAATAACCTATTGAGATGTTGATATGCCGTAAAACAAACCAAACAATCTTGTGTATTCCCTTTATTTATTTGTTTCACTCAATTTTGGGGAATTTCCTGTCTTTGAGACAAAAGACATTTAATCATGCTGATTCCTAAAGAAGAAATATTGCCGACATACCGTATATAGTTGGAGATAGATCGCACTTTTTTTACCAAAAATTTCACAAAATATTGGGGGTGCGACCTATCCACTCAGTATAGATATAAAACAACACTACCTTGTCATCATGATTTTTGAGAAATCTGAACTAATATCCATAAACACTAAAACTGGTTTTTCTCTGTATAGAAACAATTTATCTACCATATCCTGACTCACTGCTTTAAACTTACCTCATGTTGCTAGATTCACATATCCATTACAATAAATAAATAAAATTATAAAATATTCATTAATTCATCAGCAATTTATCATTAATATATTTAATGCTTTGAAATATATTTTAAATTGTTCTACATCTAAATTACAACACCTGAAGGCTGATACAGATTTATTTATTTTTTAACCTGGTGTAATGGAGAATTGGGTCAACCCAACAAGAGACCTAGAGTATTTGTATGTGATATAGACCTGATGATGACTTACTATAATCCAGTTGTATTATCTGTTTAGTGAGTCAATTGGAACATATATTCAAGGGTGTTCCATTTTTCGTGTCAGTGTATAATAAATATACAATTTCAATGTATAGTAAATATATAAATATTGTACATTATAAATAAGGACTTCATAATCTTTGAGTATTTTAGGGTAAAATCCCAATTTTACATTTTTTTTTCTGTCTACTCATTTTTTTAGATATCAAGCTTTTCTCTTTTTTTAATTTGTCTTGGTTTCTAAAGCTCTTGTTTATCTAACATTATACATATTTAAAAAAAAAAACCAAAACAAACATTTGGAGCTTCTAAAATACTTAATGTATGTAATGTTTATATCTGTACCTTACAAATGTTCCAAAAGTTGTCATATCTAAAGGTGTGAGTTGAGATGAGCTCCCACTGTCTATAAAATGCCTTCCTGGCATGTGTCTCAAATAACTTCTCCAAGCCAGTGAAGGTAGGCTAAAGATGCCTCATGACTAAATGCTTTGGGTAGATAGAGCTTGGGAATACAGCTCATCTATGAGTAGGAAAACCCTTGATTTTAAACCTCTGCAATCATTCCAGTCATACCATTGAAGCACTGAATTTTGGCCAAGCAGAGTTCTAGCTTTTATTCATGAAATAGACTAATTTCAGGCATCCATTTATCTGTCAACTTAAAATTGTATGCAATCATTGAAATTCACTTTATAATCTTTTTTTTTTTACTTTTTAAGGTGGAAATCACTGGCATCAGTGAGAAATACGCACCTTTAAGAAATGCCCTCCATTCCTTATTGGAACTGCTCTTGAAAAACAGTAATAACCAAACCGTGAAATGTGCCACTCAACTTATGAAGGTAGGTTATGTCTGTATTTTGCTGAAGAGATGATGTTTCAAGTTGGGTTTCCCTATGTGTTGTGGGTGTAATGGATACCAGTTTTAAATGAGAAATCGAAGAGCTTAGTTCAATTTCTAGTCAGATTTGTTGCAGTCACTTATGTACAAATATTCTTGGGGAAGGTATAAACTGAGCTTCTCTCCTGCTTGCCTATGAGTTAAATATTATGACTTGTATTTAAAAAAAAAAAGTGTATAACATCAAGCCAAGCCTTGGGAAACGGTACCTGGGATACAAAAGGATGAGAAGAGGTAGACCTAACTAAGCTTTGTATAGGGCATATCACTCACCAACACCTACTCAAAAATGAAGCTTATGGCCATATCCTCTTGAAACACTGGTTCTTATCTAATCACTGACATTAAGCAACATTGATTCTGATCACTACCTAGATGAGTGACTGCTTGTAAGTACTAGGTGCTGTAAGCTTGGATATGTGGTGTAATTGATAACAACTTGGAATTGTTAGTTTGAGAGCTGAGTTCTAATTCCAGTCAGGTTCATTACATTCATATACACACTTGGGAAAGGCATGAATTTCTGTACAGTTGATATTTGGAAAAGTTTTACAAGTTTATTACAATTTGTCTTTACAAGTTGTATCCGGGGAAAATCATTCTTATATAATTTATTATATAATTTAATCCCTAAATTATTAATACAATATTCACTCACAAAAAATATTATTTTCACCGTTTAGTCCACAAATTGTGCATGTATTGATAATCTGTAGTGAATTCCAACAAGTCAAGAACTACAAAGTAAGGAAATGTTTGAAAATACCAAACCAAGTGAGATTTTGCAATTTGAAAAGGAGATGGGACTTTATAATAGAAGTTTACAATCTATTTCTTTATACTAAAAAAAAAAAGAAAAAAAGTTCCACAATCTATTTTTAAGGAAAAATGTTTATTACAGTGCCTCTTTATGCAAATTGTGTCCGGGAAAGCAGAGATACATAATTTATATTTATTTCCAAAATTGTTAATACAATATTCATTTAGAAAAGAATTATTACACATTTTAAAAATGTTTTGACTTTGAATAACTCCTGACTAGTTGATAAGCTGTAGGAAAAAAAATCCATCAATCAATCCTTTAGAATGTATTGGCAACTATCAACTGAACTCCATGAAGAATCTTATTTGACACTTAAAATTCTGGAAAGTTGGCACCAATTTAATAAAAGAATTTCATGCTTGAAAATAAAGGCTGTCAGAAAAGCTTGAGGACAGGCAACTAAATATTAATTGTATTTTATTTACTTTTTTTGAATTCCATATTTTCTCTACGTTGCTTGGGGTAAAAAAAAATGACACTAATAATTTAAATAATTTAATCTAGTTTGTTTAACCTTCTTGTAATCAGCACATAAATATCAATTCTCAATTCTGCATTTGTGGTGAGTCTTACTGTTTTATATATTATGGCAGAGTATACATGGGGCTTACATCATGGTTAAACACCTGATCACTAAAGTTAAGCAACACAGAGCCTGGTCAGTACCAAGATGGGTAATCATTTGGGAATACCAGGTGCTGTACGCTTGGATGTGCATGTGGTGTAATGGATAATGTCTTGGAATTTTTAATCAGGCAGCATAGTTTCAATTCTCATTAGACTAGTTATAATCACTTACATGCAAATAACATTGGGAAAGGTATAAATGCACCTCCTCTTTCTCTCAGCTATGGGTTAATTAGTTGTATCATTTTATCATTATCTCAAAAAAATTCTTACAATCTAAAAAAAAATATTTTCTGGCTTTAAATAACCTGCAGGGATTGATAAGCTTTAGAAAAATAATTGGTCAATCCATATACATGGGGCAGCTTATAGTGAGTTAAGAGCCAATATTCATATGGCAGGTTGAATGCTAAAGAGTAAAGGTATGTTTTATGAAGCCAGAATGTTCAGCTATTAAATAAAAAATATTTTTGTGTCTTATCTGTGATAAATTTTTATTTTGCAGTAAATAAACTGAAGTGATGTGTTAATTCCATGAGTTTTGCCAGAAGTTAAAGAAATTTCAGATCTTTTATTTTGTCTTTATAAAATTGGGTTCCTACTACACCAAGGTGGGGAGGGAATTTTTTTTTTTTTTTTTAAAAATCAATCGTGTATTTGGAAGTCATAATATACCAGGGATGTTTCCATGGTGGTGAGCATCAGCCATTGGTTTTCCAAATATCCTGCCCTTTAAAGTCCTGAGAAAAAATTGGAAAAATTTATATTTTTACAGTATCTCTTAAGGAGCTGATTTATTTATTTTTTTTGCCAATGCCATAAGTGTCGAAAAAGTCAAAGTTTATAAATATCATTTTAACTTTGTGTTGTGATAAACTTGAAGTATTTATTTTGTCTTCTGTACAGCAATCCTTTCAATAACTCAAAAAACATTTTGTTTTAATTTACAGATTGTGTTACATAGTTTTTATGATGCATTTTTAGTGTCATGTCTGTTGGTACTCATCCAGAATAGTGATTTTTTTTTTTTTTTTTTTTTTTTTTTTTATTGATGCACATTTGTCTGCTTTGAAATATCTGAAACTAGTTTTGTTTTGGCTCATAGCAATAGACACGTTTCCTTCAGCTTTCATTCTTCCTGCAATTTGTGTGTGTGTGTGTGTGTATGTATGTGTGTGTGTATGTATATATATATATATAGTGTGTGTGTCTTTAAACAAGTTTAATTAAAAAGAACTGACATGCTGTCTAAATTTTTATTAGATTTTTCAAATTTTCAGATATGGTATTGAGTATTTTGCCCAAAGTTGTGGATAAACTAAGGTTCATATTCTCAAAGAATACCAGGATGTAGACAAAGGAATTCTAACTATCACACAGACATCACTTGATAAGGTTGATGACTGCAAAAGTCAGAAGTACTTGAACAAAAATAACAAAATATAAACTTTAGACAGTTTATCCACAATTTTGTGCACAATACTCAACACTGTATATAAAAATTGGAAAAAAATGAAACCGACCTTGTTGCTTCTTTTGAATCAAACTTGCTTGAATAAATACTTGCTGCCTAAATATATCATATATCAGGGTTAGGACTTTCTGTAAAATAATTGATTTGCTGTATCATAATTCAACAAACTTAAAAAAAATAATGGTTTTAAGTCGGATTATTTTTAAAATAATGTCACTTGCAACACAAAATTTCTAAAATCATATATAGTAGTACGATGACTTCTTGGAACCTTCTAGAACGTGTTTTTGTTTATTTGTAAGTTAGTATGTTACACTATAATTATAAACTGTTAAAAACATTAAAAAATAAGTAGATACTATCCAATTACATCATTAGCAAATTAAGAAGTAAAGTTTCTTAAATTCCACAACCCCCATTATTGCAGATATGGTAAAATTGAATTTTCGGTTTGGGGTGACCTTTTCAAGAACTAAAACAAATTAATGCCTTTTGAACAAAAGTTCATTGATTTATGACACCAGAACATAGTGTACAAAAAAATGTCATAACTCATATGAGGGTGTATCAAAATTACTTTGACAAACTTTGGGTGTGGCAAAACAAGGTAAGATGTCCATATAAACATATGTCCAAAAGACCATTGTTGTCCCTCAACACAGCAACTCATAACAAATGTTCAAAATGTCCTCTGCTTGCTTCTATACACACATGCACCTAGCAGACCCTTTCAAATAATCCCACACAGTATAGAATATTTTCACAGGCCCCTTTGACACATTGATGGAGTGTCTCTGCATTATTAATTTCTGCTGCATAAGCCAATTTTTTTGGTGACTCTATTGGCAAATGTTCTCCCATTGTGAGTGATCTGAGGGCAAAAGAACCCTGCACATGTTGCAAATGATATGGATACAAGAACAGATCTGTGGTACTGTGAGATGTACAACATGCTAGGGCTACTTATGTGTGCCGATACTTGGAATGTCTACGACAGCCTGTAGAATGTGTTCTTCATGGTCAAGTGTATGAGTGGATCTTGGTCTTCCTTGATCCATAGTTTGTGGTGCTACAGATCTGTTCTCAGTAATGCAACAATAAACAACAGTCAAGGTTGGATGACTTAATAACGCAGAAAAATTTTTTTGATACACCCTCTGTGTGTGTGTACATGCATGTGCATAGTGCAGAGAAGTTCTTGGTCAGCTCATTTCTAAAATCTGACCAAACATAAGAACCTACTTTTCCTTTTTAATCCCTTATTGCTTGGCCTGCTCATTTCTTGCTTTTGTTTAAGGTAAATACAAAGTGTGGCACAAATACCTCCCACATAATGGTAAGACTTTAGTGCTAAGTGTGTCTTCATGTAGCTAATGTCTTGTGGGAAATATTTCTGCTACACTCTAGAAAATATTTTACCTAAAAACAAAACAAAAAGTACACTTTAATCTGTATAAGAGTAATGTTTTGGGGGATTTCAGCCTGATTAGTGCTATGTGACAATAATTCTTACATTTTGTAATTTATAAATTGAACAATTTAAGAAATTTTTTCTATATTTTATTGATGATTATTTGAGCATATATTGCTATAGACATTTCTTTTCCAATTTCTGTTATCGTTTGTGCATGCCTACACTAAAGTCAGCACCGAGTGTTGACGGTCTGTTTCATGTTTGAATTCAATCTTCAGTCCTGAAGATTGACACTTAGTGTCCAATTTTATATTTTTATATTGACATCTGGTTAATCTCTATTGAGCACTCTTACCTATAAATATAGCATACTGTAAAACTATATATTTATTTCATCATTCATGTATATGCACACACACACACACACACACACACAATTATACTATTTTAAAAAATAGATGTCTACTCTGTGGTGTGTCTACTACGAAACTAATGAAGCTTAATTTTTCAGAGTCCCTAATTCCAGTGGTGCCTCAGAAACATTATTTTCAAAATGGCTAACACCCTGTATACAGGTTAAGTAATACCTGTCATATTAAAGCTTTTGATAATGTCTGTATAAGAAATCCTGTTTACAGTCATTTCTGAAAAAAAAAAAGAAATTCTTTGTTTATTTTTTAGCAGGGCACATTGAATAATTTTTCAAAACTTTAATTAGCTTGCAGGTGCCACCATTGAAGAGACAAAACTTCTTGAAAATAAAACCCAGCAATCATTTGCAGACATATATGAAATGTTGAGTGAACTTAAAGAATCGCCTAAATTAGACAAGTAAGTCCTTTTATTTTCCCCTCTCAGCCTCCCCTGCATGACTTGATCAGTGTTGTATGTTGCATCAGTTCTTAACCTTTTGTACCTCTTTGCAAAATTTACATGTTTGCACCCACTAAATTAAATAACGATGGTAAGTGGAGCAGTCTTAATGTGGTTGTTTTGTTGACTTTGATCAGCATCATCCACCAAAAGTAAGTTGCGTGGGAACAGCCAAGCGGTGATCACCATGCCTGGCCCTCAAAGCTGTCAAATTTCAGCCTGCAGGTTTTTGGTCTCTACAACTATTGCAATTGCATCTAAATATTTAAAAGCCATCTAGAATATAGATATATAGGTACAATGATAAATAAATGCATTTATAAAATTTGGGTCCCAATGAAGCTTTAAAGGCGTAAATTTTATTATCTTGTTAACTCCTGTTCACTCTTCACCATAACATCTCTGGACACTTACTACCCCAATATACTATGTTGAGAATTGCTGTTTATTATTGCAATTGTTTTATAAACTGCAAAACAATAATATAACCTTTGTTATTTTACTATAATTTACTTTTTACTTAGTATTCACACCCATCGGTTCCTGTGTGATCGCGGGAGCTAAGCAACATCAAGCCTGGTCAGTATCTAGATGGGTGACTACTTAGTAATACCAGGTGCTGTAAGCTTAGATGTGTAGGTGATGTAATGGATAATGGCTCAGAATTTTTAATTTGAGAGCCAAGTTCCAATTCCTGTTGTATTCATTATATTCACTTACATGCAAATAACCTTGGGAAAGGTATGAACACACCTCTTCTCCCCCCAGCTATGGGTTAATTAGTAAGAATTTTATCACTAGACTTTTATTATCTAAATACTTACAATCTAAAAAATATTTTCTGGCTTTAAATAACCTGTAAAGGCTTGATAAACTGTAGAAAATGAATGAATCCATCAAAAACCAGTGGTATCAGTTTCAATGTTTTACTATAATTACAAAAACAGTGAACGTTAGACTGTGCTATAATCTTGTGGGATATGACAGTTATCAATTCTCATATCTGCAATCAATTGTGATAGTTTGTTTCAACAGCTTCAAAATTGGCAGATCTAATTTTTTGGATTTGTGGCATAATGTTAAACATCCTTTGACTGAAATGAAATATCTCCCATTTCTGATAACAATCAATACTCATCCTGGTAAGTGTTCAATAAATTGTTTGCTATAAGGACAATGGATACCTTGTAAAAGTATGCTGTGGCTTGTAGCATTTTTCTCATGCAGATAATACTGCAGTGTAGTAATTGTGTTTGTGTGTTCATTCATGATATGCCAGACATACTGACTTTCACAATGCTTGATTGGCCTTTCCTCTTCTCAACTCTATGCACAATCCTTAAATAGACAATTTGCCATTATCCTGACATTGATGTACGAGTAATTTCTTGCAATTAATCTCAAGTAACCAAAATTTTTTTATTGTCTGAAAACCAGGTGCCCTTAATGCAGGCAAGTGGTGCAAGACCTATAATTCACTGTAGAATTAGCTGAATGAAAATGTCTTGGCTGACTTGTATTTTATTAAAGAAACTATTAATCCTGTTAACCCCATGTGAGGTGGGCTGGCTGGGGGATTAGGTGAATTTCAGTTATATTGGATTTATTTGATACTGCTGAGTTAAAAGAGTGTTCAGTTGTTCTGTTCTATTTACTTACAGGTTTTTAAATGTATTTTTCTCTGCTTAATCTAGGCATTCTTCATGATTTTCTAATCTGCTTTAATTAGTTCTAATACTACAAGCCTTCCAAAAGATATTCATTCAAAAATGAGACCTCACCTGATTACAATATACAAATGTTCCCTTTTTCCATCCCTTTAATATTTTTTGTCCATTATGCTCTGCTGTTTTAATAATTCCTTGCCTTATTTTTTTTTTTTTTTTGTAGGACTTCTCACCTCCTCATCAACTCTGTATTGAACCTGAAAGCCAAGAACTTTGACTGTGTGGAATCTGCTGCACAGCCTAATGTCAGTGCCTCTCCTGCTGCTGCAGAACTTGCGGCTGCTATGGCAGCAACTGATCTCCCTGTGAGCAACCACATTATTACTCTTTGATTTGGCAAGTGGTATTTGCTTGGTAAAATGCTTATAAAATCCTAGTTAATTTCAGTTCTGACACTATTTGTGTGTGTGCATGTATATATGTAACATATGGGTGTGTTTCTGACTAATTTATCAAAGAGATATTGACTTGGGGATATGAACCCATTGTGCAGCATAATTAAGGGCCTGAGAAAGATATTGTAGGTTGACCCAAGTGTTGGGTGTGACCGGAACTGTTTGGAAGCCATTGATGCTTGAGCTAGAATTTAGTCAGAAGTAACTTTCCAAGAGGCTTTGAGTCTATTGGCCTTGTTGAAACTATTGATCATGCTAGATTAGTTACTCTCCCAGAAACTGTAACTAAGGTCAATTCAGAATAGTTGCAGTGCAAATTACAGGTTGGCTCTGAATGTTGAAGAAACATATGTGCCTGAGCAGACATCTGCAACAGGGATTAGCCAGTCACACTAGCAGACAGGCATACTTGGAAATAAATGCATGTTTTGTATATAAACACTCTACAATAATAATTGTAGACATTGAAAGTGATAGGGGGAAGCCATATTGCCTTAGACAAAAAATATTCAATGAACAACAGCAATATAAAATCCAGTTGTGTGAGATATATATATATATATATATATATATATATATATATAAAGCTTTTTTGTTTCTTTGTTTTTTTTTAAAGCAGGACTAGGATTAATCTTGTACAAAGAAGGCTGGGTTCTGCCTAACAGAAAACCTTTGTCAAAATGATTTGAGGCAAGGTTTTACCAGGCCAGATGCTTTTTCTGATTCCCAACTCAGAGTTGTCCAAGTATATCGAGTATTTTTAATGAGACCCTATCTCTAGGAAGGTTGCCATTTAGGGCTTGAGACCTCATCCTGTCCTTATCTTTCTATATGTTGGCCATTGACTCCTATGAAAATGAACTTCTTTCACAGGTTTTGTTTTTCGATTTGCTAGGTGGTATGCCATCTCCTCACCAGCAGAAAAGTTAGGAGAGCTGTACATGTGACAGGTTCTACTAGGTTACATGTTACCAGTAGCCAGCCTAAACCTAACGTGACAAACAGATATATATATATATATTTTATATATATATATCTCAACCCAACAAAGACTGAATTAGGTAAAATAAGCCAAGGAATTTTACAAAAAGTGTGTAATTGAGTAAGAATTGCTATGCAGACCAATCAATGGAAGGGCACAAATAAATGTATTTCTTGGTTTCATGGAATTCTGAGAAAGGATTGCTTGGGGCTTTGAAGTTTGCCACCTGAACAGGTAATTTTGCATTGTTGTAAATCTGTGTTGATCTACAATGGTGAAGCATGGATTAAGAATGTTTGACAGTGCTGAGGATTTGGAATTAATGGGCCTGTATATTTTAAATAAGATCAACAAAATAGTCCACATAGACAACCATGGGTTGTATAGGGATGATGCTGATGATGATAATGCTGGACAACATGAGTAAACAACAGAATTAGAAAACAACTATTTAAACTTGAAAGCCTAGAATTTGAAATTGAAGTCGATATGAACAAAAAACTTGTCCAATATTTGGATGTCGAATTTAATCTGCAAACTGGCAGTGTCTCACCTGTTGGGTTTTACGTATGTGGACACTGGATCCAACCACCCTGTGAGTGTAATCAAGTACATCCCTAAAGGACTAGAGTGCAGGCTTACCAGAAATTCTTGTAGAACCATTTTTGAAGGAAAAAAAGATAGTGTACGAAAAAGCATTGAAAGAGGAGGAGCATAAAACTAAATTTGAATTCAGACCTCAAATGAGAAATGAAAGTGGGGGGGGGGATAAGCATTATTTGCTTTAACTCCCTCCCCGTTTAATTTAGAGGTGAAATCTAACAGGGAAGATATTTTTCAAGTTACTTGATAAGCACTTAAGAGTTCTGTGTTACACACTGTGTTTAATAAAAACACAGTAAAATTAAGTTATATCTGTACTAGTAATTTAGATACTACAATGAAAAGACAAAACGCCAAGAATTTCAAGGATAGTGTGCAGCAGAATATGGTGGATAGAAGTGTAACTGTAAGGATGAAAATAAATGTCCACTGGATGGTGTTTGTAAAACAACAAAGTGGAAATGAAAGCTGGAAATGGCCAGAGCAAGATATATGTAGTGTGTACTGGAGATACCTTCAAAATGAGATGGTACAATCACAAGTCATCATTCAGAATAGAAAGCCATAAAAATTGTAGAAGAATGGTCAGCCATGTGTAGAAATTAAAGGGAAAAAAAATAACAAAAGCCCTAATGTAAGCTGTAGCATACTGCAGAGAGTCGAGCCTTACAGTAAAGGTAGTAATGTTTGTAGGCTGTGCCAGGATGAAAAACTAGCAATAGTAACATATCCAGACCAAGAAAAGCTGTTAAATGAAAGGTCTGAGGTTATGTTGGGGTGTAGACACACTAAAATTATATTTTAGGTTTGTATGAACCAAGATGAAAGTACACAATTTTTTTTAATTTTTTTTTTATTCCTCATCTCACCCAACTACCCCATTTTTTCTTCACCCTCCTCGTCTGTCACACTTCCTGTTGTGTGCACATAAAATAAGCCAGTAAAGCATTAGAAAATTAACTAGCATCTGCTGCCTGACGAGACAATAATGGTTGAAACCATAGTAGCAGGTGGTGATTCTTAATATAAAGTTTTGGATGTTTTAAAGATTTTGTTTTTTAGAACTCCAATATTGGAACTGGTTTGACCTCTCCAGGGTGCAGATGGTATATGTAGGCTGTGTGCTGCCCAGAACACCTGCTCCCACTCCCACTCTGTAACAACAAAACTCAAAGGAACAGTAATAAAAATTCAGCAAACTTAGTTTTTTTTTTTTTTTTCATTTGTTTAAATAACCCAGTACAGTTGTATGAAAATCCTTTCAACTCTGCTCAACTAACTTGTAGTAATGGGAAATACCAACAATTCTGACTTACAACTGAATTTTGTCAGAATTTCTTTCTACACTAAACTAAAAAATAAGCAAAAATTGTTTTCATTTCATAAATCAGAAACGAAAACAAATTTTTACTACATTACTTAAAAATTGAAAACCAACAATAATAAACAAGAATAAATAAAATAAATAAAATGAATTAATCCAGTCAAATAAGTAAATTAACTAAGTAAATATTAAGCAAATTAACAAACCATGTACACACAGATAAACACAAAAAAGTGCAATAATAACAACCAACAATAAAATAATCAATAAGAAATAAAGTTAGCTAACAACACTATAAATAGGTAAAAAAAAAAAAAACTACATTTTAATTCACTATTTCTTTTTCCCCATTCATAGCTGTTAATAGTAAGCTTTTATCAGTTTTCAGCTGCACACTGATGTGAATAAGAATTGAGATGCAGCATGGGTTAATCATTGGCTGAGCAGGTGCCATGTATTTTTTTTTTTTTTTTTTTTTTCTTCAAAATTGATTTTTAAAAGTAATGATCATTCTACTTAAAAAGCATCTTGTTTACCAATAAGAAAATGATCTTCTTGCAGAATGAACCTGTCTTTTTCAATGAGAAAGGCCAGCAAATAAGCCGAGTGGAGGCTGGTTACTCTCTGGAAGATGACTTGTCTCTTCTCATAGAAGAAGTTGATCTTGATGCTGCTGATCAACTTGATGAAGAATATTATGATGAAGGTGAACAAAGGTTAGTTCTTCTTTTACTTAATATCATATGATAATTCTTCTTGTTCATTTGTTTTTGTTATTAAAACTTTTAACAAAATCCTTGTCATATCGGCTCCTTCGACTGAGGACATTTTAATGCCTTCAAAAACACTTTTAATAGCAATCTCTCATTAAATGAGACATTTCCAATGTATGACTGTTCCAAATAGTTCTCTTTTACATTGATGCATTCTAATAAATATGAACAATTAAATCTTTAGGCAAGGTAGTTAGAAAGAAAAGTGTATGCTTGGTAGAACACTTAACGTGTGGTGGGAGTGCATTTATAAGGCTATAAGGAGTGGGGGGGATTGCAGGGGCATGAACAAAAGAATAGCAGTCGCTGATCGGGGGAAAAAGGGAGAAGTACCAGTATTTATTTGAATTTTTCTCTTTTAAACTACCATTCTCTCATTTTCCTCCCTCTCTTCTGCCCACTGTCTAGTCTGCCTGTCTCTCTCCCCGCCCCGTCTGCCTGCCTCTCTGCCTGCCTGGTCTGCCTCTGTCTCCTTTCATCGCCCCCCTGGTCTGCCTGTCCCTCTGTCTCCTTTCATCCCCCCCCAGTCTGCCTCCGTCTCTGCCTGCCTTTCATCCCTCTCTGTCTGCCTTTCATCGCCTCCGTCTCTGCCTGCCTTTCATCGCCTCCGTCTCTGCCTGCCTTTCATCGCCTCCGTCTCTGCCTGCCTTTCATCGCCTCCGTCTCTGCCTGCCTTTCATCGCCACCGTCTCTGCCTGCCTTTCATCGCCACCGTCTCTGCCTGCCTTTCATCGCCTCCGTCTCTGCCTGCCTTTCATCGCCTCCGTCTCTGCCTGCCTTTCATCGCCTCCGTCTCTGTCTGCGTCTCTGTCTATTTCTATTCCCTCTAGCTCCAATGGGTTATTTTGCTTTGTATATTCATGTCCTCCAGTCTACCCAAATAATATATGAATTATGCAATTTTTGCGAAACAAGCAATAATTCAAAAACTGAGTAAACTTGTAGAATTTTAACTAAGGTCAGTTATTTTAATGATTAACCAATTCCAGTTGTGGCCAGCGACTAGATTAATTGAGCATCAGCTACCAGTAAATAAGGGAGATAACTATAGTTTTTTTTTTTTTTATTTTTTTTATTAACTGAATCTTCAATCTTTTTCTTTCAGTTATGTGGAGAGTGTAGATGTTATGGACGATGAAATGATGCGCTGCTACGAGGAGTTTTTGCGGGACACTGAGAAGTAGGCAGTGTCTGCCAAGCCTCACTGCAATTATTGGTCACTCAACAGGATTTTTTGTTTTTTGAGTCGAGGAGACCGCACCTACCCATCCTAAAACCATTCACCCACTTGGCCCATTCTTTTATTATTGTTACTCCTCTTTCTCCATCTCTCTTCACTCTCATCTAAGGCTGCTGTCTGCTGCACTTGTATATAAAAAAAAAAAAATCTTCAGTTTTGAATCTCAGCAGGTTACTCTTTAACACCAGTAGAGGCAGCAGTTGCAATAATAATTCTTTTTATGTTAGTATTCATATCACCATCACAAAAGAAAAAGGCTTTTTACATTGATGGCTAGTGTCTAGTTAATTACTCTTTTGTGCAAAGTACAATCAGCATTACATTAAGTTATAACAAATTTACAAAAAAATAATTCTTGTATTAAAGAAATTCTTTAGCTACTTGTGTCCCACCCCTTTCCTCAATCTTTTTTTTTTTTTTTTTCTATACTTTACTAAAAATGTCAGATTTATTTGTTTTTTTTTTTTTTTTTGTTTTTTTATTTCAATTCTGTTATCTTTAAGGAGCTGATTGAATCCTAACAATTTCTTTTCCTACAGGCTTTTTCCTTCAGCTTAGCCCTTACGAAAGGGATCCGTAAACTAAGCAAGAAATTTTTCCTCAAGGAAACTGAAGTCTGTATCCATATAATTATTAAAAAATTTCTATCCTGCTTTGTGATTTGTTAGGCGGGGGGGATGGGGAACTTCTAACGGCCTGCTGTTATGCTTTGTTTGCATTTGCAATATTGCATTTCCAGGTAGTTTTCAAATTATTCGTATCATTTAGCTGCTAAATAAACACTTTTCATCTTCCTTCCATTCCTCCACTGTCCCCAGATTCATGAAGATACCGTGTGTCACAGTCATTCCACAAAACCATAGCCACCCCCTTACTTACCCTCCCCCACTGCCACTATTCCAAAACTTCCGTGGGTTCGGATTTATCTCTTGGCTCAATGAAATTTCCTTTTTTGCCCTTTCCCTGCCTCCTGGAGTAGGTGGGGTGGCACGCACCCCTGTCCTCTGGGTGTCCTGCTTTGGGTGTGTCGAATATATCTCCTAGAAACCCTTTTTGTTGGTTCAAGGATTAGGAGGTGTCATGTTTAGTTTTGTGGGGGGGTTCTTATTTTTCCCCCCCTGAAACTTACTGGTGAAGTAAGAAAAAAGTTAGCATTCCAGCAATCAATTGTGTTGGCTTTCTATATTTTTAATTTTTTTTTTTTTTTTTTTTTTTTCTTCTTTTAAGTAAATTGATCCCTCCTTGCCTGCTTTAGTTTATTTTTTTTTTTCCAAATCTGGTATAAAATATTTTTTATGTCCGATTTAGAAAAAAGAAAGAAAAAACTCAACAGAATAAAAATATCTCCTGTTAGTTTTTTTATACTGTCTATTATTGGACAATTTGCTAATTATGGAGATATCCTATATGCACACAAACTGTCAAATTTCCCTTTTCTTAAATTTAATGAGAGGAATGGGGGGGGGCATAAATTATTTTGGTCTATTTAAAATTAGTTGTAAAATTATCAGAATGATGACCTCCAAACTCATTAGTACTGAAACTCCAAATTTGATATTTCTTGATTCTATTATGGCTGCAAAATAAATTGTGTTTTATATATATATATATATATATATATATATATATATGTGCTTTAAAAATGGAAAAAAAAAAATAATACAATATTTCGCATTCAGTTTTCTGAAGCCCAATGTTATGGTTTTCTTACTTGATTACAGTTTATAAGCTGTGAATCTCCCCCCCCTTTCCTCACTTTAAGAGGTTTAAAGCTTTTTGTTCCTTTCCAGCTTCAAATTTACTTTCAAAATGAAAAAAAAGAAATTGTCCTTAGCAGTTGGGTTGAATTGTTTTCATCAAGAACATCCAGTCCTCTTTTACCAAAAGTGCAATAGAATTTTCTCTGGGTTTCACTGGGTATCGTAACAGTTGTTTCTCACTTGGTACTTAGTAAATCTAAGAATATGGATATTGGTTTAATTTGGTTCCCTGATTTGTTTTTGTTTTTTTTTTTTTGTACAAGTTGTCCCAGAAAATAATTGGTCACAGTTCACAGATGGGTTGCTGGAATAATGTCTTTTCCTGCCTCTCACTCACAAAAGAAAAAAAAGGTTTTACTTAGCTTCCCATTTTCCATTTACATTCAGACTATTGTCCTCATCCCTGTTGATATGAGGACAATAGTTAGTGTAAAGAATGATAATTCCTCATACCAGAAATTCAAACAGATCAACATTTTCTAAAGTCTTAGAATTTTTCATTTTTCTTTTAGTTGGTCCATCCCAAGTTTTCCACATCAGTACAAATTTAATTCTTCCAATGACTGTTATGTTCTTCTCCCACTCCCCTCAACCTCCTCATCCTCCCCTCCTTCTTTATTCATTATTAATAACAACACAATTAAAAAAAATCATAAAAATTACAAGAATTTAACATTTTTCAGAACTTGTGCCAAAAAGATAACTAGAACTACAACATTCAATAAATCAAGGAAAGTTCAAGTGAGTCATTTGATTGAACTGACTTGAGAGTTTTGCATCAAAATATTCATTAGGGCTGAATGGTTGATAAAGGCCTAGTTCTAGAACTTTCATGATTTATTGAAATTTTTTTTTTATTTTGTGATGTAATTCACATCAATATCATTTCAAAAAGTATTTATTTTTATTTAATAAAAATTTGACTTAAAAAAACAAAAAAAAAAAAAAAATTGCTAAGATGGATCTCAGTATTGCAATTGTGAGACTTGAGATTCCAAGGTTAATCTTGAATCTTTAGGGAGGCTTAATCCAAAGGATGGTTCTGAATTCTAAGTTTGAAAGTATGATTTTATATTTTGTTTTGAATTTCTAGTGCAGGACAATTTAAGCAAGTGACAGTCAAATGATATCAAACTCTACTGCATTACATGCTTCTGCTAAATGTAAGGCTTTCTCATTAGAAAAATTGAAGAATTTTTGTGGTTTTTGTGTTCTAATAAATACCATTAAACTCTTTTGTTGACTGCAAACACCATTCCTCTTCCCTTTCATCTTTCAGGCCAGTCAAATGTGATGTTTGATGTGGGGGCTGTCTAGTGGACCCTACTTTACAAAATTGCTTGCGGGGAGGCTAAATCTTGCTGGTATATTTGTAAGATAGTTTTATTTATTTATTTTTACCTTCAATATTTCAAATGAATTTAAAATTCAGTCTTATATTGATTAGACTGAATAGATGGCATCATGTCTAATAGTTGATGCAAATGGTTTGTCAAACATTATATACACACACACACACACCAACGTTTCTTTATACAGATTTCCTTGCTATATAGATTCTGCTGCATCTTGTTTAGCAAGAATTAACTTTTTGGTTCAGTAATTTGAATAACTGACTGCAGCTGAAAGTTTGAGCATCTAATATAATTATGTTGCTTCAAAAAATAAATACTGGGCAAACCCTCTGATTTTCTAGGTGGCTTTTGTAGAAATGTGATATCTAAATATTAACCTGGCCCCAAAACATTGTTTAGCATGAGAGCTTTTAGATCCCTGATTTTTATTTTATTATTTTATTTTTATTTTTAGTTTGTTTTTTTTGTACATTCCGAAATTGGGCTTGAAACTAGAAAATATTAAAATAAGAATGTAAGGGAAGTAACTCTGTTTCTCTAGGCGACATTCCCAACTGTAAAATTTGGTGTTATGGGCTCTTTCTCGCATACACACACACACAATATATATATATATATATATATATATATATATATATATATATATATATATATAAATTATTTTTTTTGTCATGTTGTTATAAACGTGACTAATTTGAGTTTGAATTTTTAAATGGGTTTATAGACTGAAAAGTCGTTTATCTTTTGTTCCCACTGTACAGTCTGTTTATGTAGTTGTAAACTCTATACTGTAATGGTAAGAATGTCAAAAATATTGTAAATTGACAATGCCATATCTGATGTTGTTAATTATATTGGTGATTTGTATTATATCTTAAATGTTGAAATTCATGGCTTCCCTTGGTTTTTGATCTCCTTTGCTCTTTGGTACTGAGCATTACTAACCAGGCACAGGATTAACATTATTCTCCAATTTCTTTTTGTACAAATTTCTTGCTTAATAACCTGTATAACACTTGAAGTGTCAATTTTTTTAATATTCTGTTCATGTGTTGTATCATATAGATTTCTTTAGACTTGGTACTCTAACATTAACTTGAAGGATCTTAAGCAAATCTTAATATCACTTTAATTTTTTAAAAAAATTAAAAAAAAATTTTTTTTTTTTAATAGTGACTTAAAAAGCAGAGAAAGGTCTTCACAATAGGTTGGTAGTTTTAATGTCTATGCATCTACTGATGTAAACATAGAATAGTTATTGCTGGGATTTTCATGAGGACTTTTACCAACAAAGTCGGCCATATTTTTTTTTTTTTTTTTTTTTTTTTTTTTTATTATATAATTAATCAATATTTGGGTGACTGCCTCCTGAAATCAATCGCTTAATGTTTCTTTTAATAAAGGGTGTTCCAGTAATTTGGACCGATTTTTAAATTTAATTCACATTTAAAATCAGTCCAAGTTATTGGAACACC